TAGTATGCTGAATTTAAGGGAGGCAGCTGTATATGCACAGAATTTCATTTCTCTGGCTAGCTGGCAGGTAGATGGTACAACGCCTCACATGGTTAGCTATGCAGCTAGTTGAAAGCAACACCTAAACGACGGGTACAGGGAGGGGGTGATGTGGCGCCAGATGCTGGGGTGTCGGGTGGGCGCTGCAATAGACGGGTACCCTGACTCCCACTGGGAGCTGGAAAATGACACATTGGGAGTTGGGGCCGACGCCTAACGCTGGCGCACCAGCAGTGCGCTGGCAACTAGCCACCCAACTCCAAAATTTTTTGCTGGGTATACAGAATATACTGTACACTGCATCAGTGCGTTCTTGTGATGCATATACAGCATGAGCCACCAATTGCGGCACTGCATGGTTGATTGATTGATTGATTGATTCACTCATTCATTACTTCATTCATTTATTGGTTGTTGACGCTCTCATCATGATGCAGCATGGATGCTGGGATGGAATAACATACCAGCTGCTTGCTTGACTGTGCCTGCGTCTTTTAACAATACTGTACTGCACGTACACACCTGCTGATGATAGACTTTTGGTTCCATCATATGCATGGTACTACAGTGTGGTGTACAATACTCCATACGTATATGCAATATATCTTCAAGGGTTCAGCCAGCAGACGACGTGGGGTTTACTTCAGCAGGCATAGCTGAGTATATACGTGCTGGAGGTATATATGCAGTCCTCATACAGGTTTTCATGCACTGGCTGCTGTTTCAATTACAGCAGTACTACTGTATACATTGTTTGTATACGAGTACTGTATATACCTGACGCATTATATATACAGTACCGACGATGTATCATCTCTCATTATTCCTGATGATGATGGTCCTGATGCTGCTGCTGGTCGTCACTGCATGATGGCGCGGGATACCAAGTACAGTACAGTATAATAAATTCCAATCTGATTCTATACTCTATACTGTTCTGTTCTACTTTTTACTGTACTGTACTGTACTTGGTGTTGGCAACTAGCATCAGCAGGCATTCGCCTCGTATTACGCGTTCCCTGGCTCATTGCCTATGTCATTGCTGAGCCGTGCTGTATAGTATTTGGAGCATAAGCGCATCCGTAAACGGCCTTATAAAGCCCATTAATGTTCCCGTCAGGATATGGAGTTTGGAATGCCGCCTAGCTGAATGACTGGTCGAATCCCTCTGTGTTCGCAGGCGTCTTATTGTCCTTCACCGTCATCCCCTCCTTCTTCTTCTTCGTCTTCCTCTTCGTCGTCGTCGTCGTCGTCATCTCGTTTGACGCGTGGGTTGGTGCTGGACGACGAGCACTATAGCGACGCTGATGTTGCTGACGGTGGTATTGGCAACGAAAGCAGCAGCAGCACTCCTTTTTCGGGCTTCTGGCTGTCAACATCCTGTCGCCGACAGCTGAGCAAAAGCCTGGACGACGCGCCGGCAGCCCGAGTCAATAGTACCAATAATAAGGGCTGGAAGGACCTGGCCCGCGCTCTCGGCATGGATCGGTCAGTGTATAAACATCAGTGCAGTTAGTTAGTTAGTTATAGTCTTGCTCTTGTTCCTTACAATACCTATACACTGTACTGTACCCCCAACTCAGGAACTCGGCCGTAATATACGTACTGCAATCTGCACAGACGAGAAAAAAATAAATAAACGAAAACAAACAGTAACACGTCATTACACGTGCTGCACTTGCTTTAATATACATTCGACGATGAGTGCTCTGATCCGTTATATATAGGTATTACAAGTGAAAATCCTTCTATGCAAGAAACATACAGGGACTCATCATAATATAAGCGGGCATCATGGTATGTTATGTTGAGTATAGTACTGTGTACTTTATGCAGCAATTTTCTTTGAGCCAGAAAATTTAAAAAAGAAAGGAACAGATGTTCACCTAAAAATGACTTTTTATTATCCTAGCCCCAACAATTATCCCACCATGACTGCTGTTGGGAAATTTCAAATCCTACAATGCTGTGAGAATGTTCTCCCATCCCTTGATTGTTGAAGCCATTCTCTTGAATTTTTCTTCCCCCTGTTGAAGCATAGATCTCAATAATTGAGCAGTAATATGGACATTTCCAGCAAACGTATTTATTTATTAGTCTCCAATAAAGTCATCATGCTGCTGCTCTATACCCAGCAAAGAATGGGGTCATTGGGCTGGCAGAGAGATGTTGGGGCAATGGCATTGCCATGTAAGAATGGTAAGGACTGACTGCAGCCAATGTCCTTGTTATTATTGGGCATTGGTCCATCAAAGCCAGCCCAAGGTGTGGTCAATGCAGCCAATGTCCCAACATGTAAAAAAAAATAAATAAAAAAAAGAAGAAAAAAAGAAAAAGAAAAAAAAGAGAAGGCATTGCTGAAATGCCGTTGAACATACCTTGTAATGGCGCATGCTTCCCCATATACTTCGAGCAGCAGTACTCCAGAAGCACTTGGTTTTGTTGAAACTTTTTGTCTTCAACATCGGTTGCTTTAATACACCTACTTATTAAACTGCATTATTAATCGCATTCCAACCTGCAAGCAGACACACATTATACAAACAAATGTGCAGCAGCTAGTGCATGTACTGTATATCCTATATATTTATTCATAGGCTATGTGGTTGCTGACGTTATGTGCTATTGCATGCTATAGGTATCTCGACTACTTTGCCTCGCGTCCGAGTCCCACGGAAGCCATTTTGGACCTGTGGGAAGCGCGGCACGCGGACCGATCGGCGTCGGCTATCGGCGAGTTGCTGGACATCCTGCAGGACCTGGGGCGGAGAGACGTGCTGGCCATCACTAGCAGCAGCGGGGCCATGTTGGTGCACACTACCAGCAGGCACGTCATCTTCGCTAATGACGATAATCATAAGCAGCACCGTGCAGCAACTTCGTCGGACCCCTGCTCTTGGGTCTGATGCAGCATGATGACCAGCATCATCACATCACGACGATCGACCTCAACGACCAGAATCACTTTCAATTCCCGTTTTCACCGTCCGCGCGTCTAGCTGCAATATTTTGTGAGTGCAAGCATCACGTGTCCCGCGCGTGCTGCAGAGCGCAGTATGCAGCAACACCAGCATATTTTAGCCGTCCGTCTTTTGATGATTATACAGCAGTTCTTGTGCGTGCCAATAACTTTATCGATTCCTGATGCCCAGCACTTTCAGCATGCAGAATCGTCTCTGCTGACCTCCATCCGGGCTGGCCCACGGTTACGCCAGTATACTGTATAAGGTTTCGCTTCTATTATTATTTAAAACTACACGTACCCCCAGCTCATCACAATTATTCATTATTTTGTTATACCTCTTCATTATTTCCCATACACACGTTCTCCCTCATCCCGACTCTACATGGCTCGAGCAGAAATGCGAGCAATCCGACCTCAAATCCCTCCCCCAGTATACGTATATACTGTACTGTACATGTCCGGTTCTGAGCACGGCAGTTGACAGTACCTGTACATGGTTCTCCTTCCGCCGCCGACTGATGTTATCGTCGCCAAGAATGCCCCCGGCTCGAAACGACGAGATGTTGTCATTATTGCGCAATGCATGCACATGCGCACCAGTCCCGTCCATCGCATCGTCGTCGTCGTCGTCGTCGTCGTTGTCCACCAGCTGGACACGTGCAATTGCTGCACGAGCAGCATGCAGAAGAAGGGCTGCATGATGCTGTGTAGATATAGAGAATGTCAGAACAAAGCCCTATTATATATATGCGCCTTCAAGCAGCATGTATGCTGGTCGTAGCACAGTCATGATCAGCATAGAGCCAGTGCAGCAATAATACTACTGTACTGATGAACCATCCATCCATCGCGGATTCGTGGTACATCAGTACTAGCATTAAAATGACGTGTCCCGTGTGCATCTTCATCATCATTGTCCCGTTAGTATAGTAGCAGTAACGTTGCGTAAAAAGTTGAAAGAAAAGAGGATATACTGTACAGCAGTAAATTGAAGAAAGAAAAAGTTCGGCAGATGGCTTGCAGGACTACGCCAGCCTCAGCCTGAGTGATGGAAGACGAACTCGTAATCCAACAAACAAGGAACAATAGATGGCAATATATTGAGTGACCTTTTACTTCACATATGCAGTACTGTACTGTATTTCTCTTTTGCGGAAATGGGGTAAAAACGCGCGTTCATCATCTATGGATCCAGTAGCACACGTATACGATCAACTGCAGGTTCATGTTCAGCAGTCGAACACAAGAAAGGCAAAGAACGGAGAACAAGCCTTGCTCTTTGATCGTTCCATTCCTATACTGTATGCTGCAGGCCACGGTTAATATTGCAAGCATTCTTTCGTTACCGTCCGGGCCGTTACTCGCCTGTGCAGTACAGTACAGTGAGTACACATGCTCTAGCAGACGAAGTCATCAGCAGATGAGGACCTCCGCCAGAATTAAGGCGCATATATGCTGTCTTTATGCCGTGTGTGACGACTGACGATCGCCTCGTCACCATCATCCGATCCCGGTGAGCGCGTGTTGTTGAGAATCGAGTTGATCCTGTATGTACGGTATACATATACGTACACATCTTGCATGGAATAAGGGATGATGATGATGATGACGACGACGACGACGACGACGACGAGTGGACGCAGATGATGTTTTAAGAAAGTTATTGTGAATAAGAAGAAATGGAGGAAGAGCGAGTATCGTTGGATCGAGAGACGACAAAAAAGGCTGTGATGAGGATTTATTTTTTCTTGATTTCGGTTTTCTTTTCTTCTTCTCTCCTTATTATTATTATTTTTTAAGCCATGCTTGTGTGCTTGTAAATTTGGAATGGGCCGAATCGAATCGCTGATGGTATTGAAAAACCCATCACTCATGAGCACCCCTGCACGTACTGCTGCATTCCTGCGGACGACGAGTATAGGGGAATCGACACGTTCAGAAAATCATGTGTAGAGGACTGGTTTTACAAATACAGTTCCGATGTACGGTATACCACGAGGCATAGACGAGGGAATCCTCAACAGCAGCAGCAGGAAATGAATCAAGCAAGGGGTCATCTTTTATTTGATTTTTCTTTGTTTTTTTTTCTGACACGATGCTGATGGTCCGTATCAGCAGTACCACACCAGCAAAGGGACCCAGCAGCCATCCATCCATCCATCCAATCAATCAATCAATCCATCCATGTGCATGCATGCACCAACCAGCTGTATTATTTCAGTGGAATGAATTCTGTGTTCCCACCAAATTATGCCAATCAAAGTTGACCTGCTGCCATGCAAAGAAATGCATTCGATTGCTGCGAAAGCTATTTACAGCAGCATACGCGCGAGAGCTGCTGTAATGTACAGCTCATATTACAGGATAACGTCTGGCTTATTTTTCAAGCGTTTCTTCCAAACATCCTGGCATAAAATGCAAACATGATTCTTCCATTGCTTTTTTTGTTTTCGTCTTCTGGTTATTGTTGCCACTGTATGTACTTGATTGTTTCGTTTTTTTCTTTTGTCCCGTTGTTTGCTGCCATGATGCGCAGCGAGTATTCCATTGATGGATGATGCATGTTCCGGCCGTTCACTTCTTTGATGATGCTGCTTGATGTTGATGTTGATGTGGAAATAATAACGCAGCCGCGAGAGCTGTTCTTCCAAAATAACCCGTGTCGAATGATTTACATCCAAGATTGTTCGTAATTCATTTCATATTTCATCATCACTATGTATACAGCAGTACAGTGTCGTGTTTTCTTTTTCTCCTTATATATCCTCCATTCTTGTGCTGACAACCAGCAAGTGCAGCGCGAAAGCCAGCGCATCAGAGTGCAGTTTATTGGCACTTTGCTAATCGACGCGTGACGACACGAACCACGACAAAAATAATAGGGCATAGATAAGATCAGCGCCATCTGGTGGCGACAGGAGCGAAACGCATTATTATTATCGTACTTGCGGGCGCACTATCCCCCCCCCCCCCTGCATGCGATGTACCGCGTCCCATTCACGCTGAATGTATACGACAATGAAAAATAAATTGAAAAAGGAAAAGTTCAATGAAATACTTGCCACATGATAGAGCAAGATGAGAATGTATGTTAGGGCTTATTAGGAGCATACGAAAGTTATTCTTGATGAATGCATCATCTGCTTGAACTTGTATTCTCAATGAGAATACATCAGTTCGTGCGAAAAATGAGGGCGTCTGAAATGTATCCCGCAACTATACCTAGATGAAGCTCTCTCTCTCCCTCTCTCTCTCTCTCTTCTCCCACACATATTTATAGGTTTAAGAAATGGAAAGAATGAGTTATTATCAATTGGAGAAAAATGAAGTGTAGATCGGATCTGAATAAGTGCTGCACAGCTACATTTTCCACCAAAAAACAAAAAAAAGAGGCGCAATTTGGTGTAAATAAACAGTGTGCTTGATGTACTGTACTCGTATTATGCAACTCTGGATCGTTGCGTCATCAGATGAATTCTGATGAGGGCGGGACTTTTATCGCTTATATATTGGTTTGCTCCCCCGTCACAATAACAGTAAAATCAAGAGCGTCATTATTATTCTGGTCTGCGCGTCAAATTCCACATTCACCAGCATCCGCGCGTCACCTCATCTCATCAGCAGCAGCTAGCGGCACGCGTTTCATGTGCGCGGTAGTTGATGAGCAGTCGTAGTTATTTGTGCTGCTGAGCACCTGATGATGCAGAAGACTTGAAATTGATGGAGATGAATAAACTGAAAAAAGAATCAGTATACTGTACTCTACTATACATCTGCCTGCCACTCAGCATGCTGCTGTTAACATCAGTACAGAACTGTATTTAAGCGGGGATGCGAAGAAATCAAACCGTTAGTCTAGTATAAGTACAGTACAGTAGTTAGAACAACACACTGTGCTGCAGAGCGGCGCCTTATTCATTCATTCCACCGGCCCTGCGCATATTATTTAGGATGCGTTTCCTGCGGCTTCATTTCTCACAGTTTCCATCATTCATATTTGCTCAACCATCCTTCGCGAAGGCCCAAACCATGCACGGCGTTGGTCAATGATGAGTGGCGCATAACACTTCCGCGCAATGGCTGCTGTACGAGAATACAATACGGTACATCAGTACAGTATATGCTGGATGATGCGCAAAACATTCGCCTACCCCGCATTATTGGAGATGCCGCACCAAAAGTTGGCTGCTGTTACGTGCAGCAGTGTCCACTGCTGTCCAGCATATGCGGAATAGCCACTAAATAACTTGCACAGCATATATACTGTACGTATATACTGTACTATATAGTACAGTACGTAGGTAGGGCAGGAGGAAATTACTAGAACGGTTGCATTTATTGTATATATGTATATGCTGATGTCCTGCACTATACACGTATACAGTACTGTACAGTCCTGCACAGGCCCACTGGCTGATGGGGAAAGGGGTGAGAAATGGGGACAAGGCCGGACACGGTGTATGTTGACATGACTAAACGAGCCACGCACCTGGGATGACGGAGTTTGCGTCATAATTGGACAACAACCACGCACCCCTTCATTAATCCTGCGGATGCTCATCAACGCCGGAAATAAGTAACCAGTAAGTGAGTAATGACCTCGGAAACGTGGCTCGTCCGCTGCTTGCTTGTAATCGTCCCCATCATCAGAGCCATGCATGTATAGGCCATGAAAAGAAGCGGTTGTCAGCAGTGATGGCCATCAGCCATCGTCATTTTTTACAACTTCCTTTCTCATCCAAAGTTCCATATACCGTATATATATATATATATATATACAGCAGTAATACAATACCAGGGTTGTCCCATTATTGCCACATGTACTGTACTTAAAAAATCGATATCCTTCTTCCTCATTGTAAAAAAAATTAAATTAACTTCTCTGATATTCTTAGTAGCTTTTTCAAACATTCAAATTCTTGAAGCATTTTTTCGAAACATCACACGGCATATTAAAAAGTGAAAAATTTCCAGTTTGGGTCAGCGTTTATATGTCACTCACTCCACACAACTGTATATAGGCTGAAAATTGTGCATAAGAGTTAACTGTATTTACTCAATAAAGAATTTTTTTTAATTGAGTAGAGCATATGTTGGGGGGACGGGGGGTGGTTCATAAGTGATGATAAAATTTTGTCTGAAAAAAATTGAAGTTTAGGTGCACATCACACTTGTATATACAGTACTGTAATTATTTTTATACAGTATAACAAATGCTGTAATTGAAAATTAAATTAAATTCAAGTTTAATTCATGTTCAAATTATAATTCTGGCGTCCCTCATTTTTTAGATATTGTACTTTTTCAATCGCTATAGGAATGGGGAGCATATCTTACATGGGCGGGAGTGATAGAATGTCATAAAAAATATAGGGTGGCAATTTGGGGTGCGTGCTTTACTGCTGATGGCAGGTGTTTGCTACACTGCTGTACCGAAGTAGGAATGGTGGTGCTTGAAAACATTTTTTTCATAGAATATAACGCTTCTCGTGTAGTGATACGAACTTGAAAATTTGCGCTAGATCAATTTTCTTGTAATAAATGAAAAATGCAATACCAATGTAAGCTTGCCGAGTGCCAGACTCTTGGCTCCCATGCTGCGTGAATGCAGATGATTTGGTCTGAGTGGTTGGATTGCTCAAAATCAGTCTTCACTCATGAATCATCAATCAGCCCTGCCATTGCTTTTCTCAACATTTGTCAATTTTCCAAAAGTTCCAACTTCCCGATCATTACAATAAGTAAAAGTCATCAGAAAACCCGAAGTCATCAAAATAAGAAAAAATTAACTGCTACAGATGAAAATGCACTGTGTTGAGCAAAAACCCACCTGACCAAAATGTTTTACAAGTAAAACCTATCTAGAGCAATGAAGTCATTTTTCATGCATCCCTGCATCCCAGCTGCTTTCATCATGCAGTGAGATCTTGTTTCAACAAATTTGTGAAGACTCCACAATAAGTTTGTTATAACAAATGATTTACTATAGCAAGATGCTTGAAATTTTCGACTGACTGGAAGATTTTCTAAAAAATTAAACCTGCATAAATTTAACATCATCCTTTTGCAACCTTTTCAGGCATTATATTGTTTTTTGGCATTAAAAAAACTGCAATCTTCAAAAAGAAGTTTAAATGTTAATCACAAACATTTATTCTGAATAACGGCGGTCAACACCAGCAATTTCTGTTGATTAGGGTTTTCTAAGCAATTTATTAGGGCCAATGTTCACAAAAAGCTTACAATTTCTAAGCCTCATCACAGGGTTTCTCAAGCATACAAGCCCTTTTTTACATGAGTTTTTTGGGGTTCATTTCTTCTCCCCCCACCATCTTTCCTAACCCAGGAAAAAAATTGGAGAGAAAAATTGCTCAGGCGGATTTTGAATAATTCATATTCTTGTGTTATCTTAACTTGCTTGATAAAATATTCTCTTTGGTCGCGTCAATAAATAAATACAATGTTTCAAAATATGACTGCACAATATATTTCTATTACTTTGGTACACAGAATCACACTCGTATTTTTCATAC